AAAGGTACAATGTACATTTTCTTAGTTTAATATTTGAGAAGGAAATGTTTCGGAAGGAAATATTGTTCTTCCCAATGAAACTATTTATGCAGCTCAGATAACATTAGTCATGGCGGATATTTTTGTCTGGTTAAAAAATATAATCCTGTTTTTTATTCGCGCGTAAACTAGATAATAGTTCAGAAAAAATGATTCTGTTTCAACCTGCTCCAAGTCAATAATCAGGAAGAATATAAAATTATTCTTAATTTTCAACAAAGTTTGGATAATACATATGTAGGGCATGTGGACGTTCGGGTAGCGTAGCAGTTATCAGTGCAGAAGGTGGAATCGGCAAGCCAAGTTAAAATTCCAGTCTAATCTATGACGTCCACTTTCTTTTAATCATTTAACCCCAAGCAAAACACTAAGATGCAAGGGTTTACTGATTATGAAAGAATAAAAGAAAAAGAGAAAAGTTGAGAGAACAATAAAAGTACAAGAATTAAAAAAACAGAAGATAATTATTGTCACTGGATTTAAATTTCTGGAAGCTCAAAGTTGACTAGAAATCAAGAAAAGTCTGCAAGCGAGAAGTGCGAGAGAAGACCTTGTTACCATAAGACTTAGAGTTCTATATATATAACAGAGAGTAGTAATATATAATACTATATACATATATATATATATATATATATATATATATATATATGTGTATATATATACACACACATATATAATTTTTTCATATAGCCAAAAACAATTTACTCACTAAAAATTAAGTTAATTGTGTTTGCCTATGTAAAAAAATTAATAATTCTGGCTCTACTATAGGTATTGAGTCCTCTTTTGAAGTAATGCTGTGAACGTTAGAATATATATATATATATATATATATATATATATATATATAATATAAATTAAAGTAATGCTGTGAACGTTAGAATTATATATATATATATATATATATATAAATTCTAACGTTCACAGCATTACTTCAAAAGAACATAAACATAAAAATGTCTTTTATATATATATATATATATATATATATATATCATATAGAGTTATAAAATTTTCAAAAATCTTGTTGCTGATGAAGAAATAAAACTGGCTTAAAAAATTAGAATAAGTGACATAATCATCACAAAAATAAAGACATCCATAAATTATTTTATTCCAACCAGATGCATCGTAATTATAAACAAGGTGAAAATGCATTAAAATATAATTCGCCGGTATATAATAGTTAACGATCCTAAAAATACCTTATATTTATTATTTGCTATAAGCAAATTCTAACATCTAATCTAATTATATCATCAATATCCCAGCTCCTTCAAAATCCCTCTTATGTAAAAATAATATTATATATGAATTCACATATGCTTTGCAAGATTGTTATTTCCAATGCTAATAATCCACAAATATAAACTTTTTATATTGGCCACAAACCCACTACCACTCTCTCATAGGTTGACTTGTTACTTGTCGAAACTTGGTGCAATTTATGCACATCGATCAGTACAACAAATACAAACAAAACACTATTAACATAAGACGATTTTTTAATAGATGACACCAGAATATCATACTGGATTAACTGTAAAGAAAGACTGAAAATTTTAGAAGCCAGTCTCATACAAACGAAAACACCAAAGTTAGAAAAAATATCTTTCTTCGCGTAATCTCTATGGGCTATTTAATGCCGAAATCTAAATATTTTTTACACAATTTATATATTTTTAACGCAATTGTATGCCCTGAATTACAGATAAAATGTACTATCGATATTTTTGCTGCAAAATGTATTGTTGGTAATTCTAGTATAAATATATATTGTTGGTAAATTTTTATATAAAAATGTATTGCTAGTATTTTTACTATAAAAATGTATTTTTATACCTTCATAATGTTTTATTAGGGCTCACTATTTGCCCATAGCTTGGACCCTAACAGGTCCTACCACCCTTGGTCAGAGTGGATTTGGGAACAAGAGCAATTAAAATGTGGTTCCACGCTCCTCAATACTTCCAATCTCTTGATAAGAAACCTTGCTACCAGATGTAGTTTATCGTCATACCTAGGACAAGGTGTATTAAAAAAAAAACACGTATAGGTATTAGATACATACTTTTTCGTTTAAGCGTTACATATGACATATTTCTGAGAAAGGCATGAATATCATCTCTTCCGCCGCCCCCAACATCTATGGGTTAAATAGCGGAATTGAATGGACTGTCTAGCCTTGGGTGACGATTACTCAAAGAGAAGGACTACTTTGAATCCCAAACTGTGGAGAATAAGGCAACGGGAAACAGCACTCTTTTCTATCCCAAGTCAATTCACAGATAATAAAGAAATGGAATACATAGACAGAGAGGACTGCCTACGTCCTAAAGAGATATAGTGTTAAAAATCTTTACACTGTCCCCGATATATATATATATATATATATATATATATATATATATGTTAATGGTAGATGCATTTAGCAAAAGAGAGCCATGTTGCAGATAATGTATTAATGAAAGATTCTCCGATATTTAAGAAAGCAAGTGATTGAGGGGGAAAAACAGAGAAGCGAGGTCGAGAGAGAGAGAGAGAGAGTTAAAAGACGACGAGAAGAAATAGGAAGATGAGAGAAAGACGATGTGCTGGGGTGTTTATTGAAATACGTGTTTCGCGTGATGCGGGCATCGACATTACTTCAAGTAGTGTGGGTTGCTTGGCGAGATTCGCGCAGACGAATACGTCAGCAGCAGCACTCGACGCAGAACAAGCAAGCGCCCAGTCGTGTCACGTGATTGCAACACAATCATTGCTCTAATAATATGATAAGCTACACTGACCAAAACAAAGACAGAAAGACAGAAGCAATATAAAACCCAGAAACGTTGGGGGAAGCGCCTGCATTGCACGCATTTCTGTGTATTTATAGAATATCAATGGTCACGCCTTTAATGAGGGTTTCTAGGCAATATATGAAGTTCTATCATGGCTTGTCATGAAGATTATACTGCAGTATATAGTAAAAAGATATTAGAAAACGAATCACAGTACAAAATGTGATTGTTATTAGTAGCAGCTCTTCTGATGAAGAACATACGACAAGGAACTTTAGACCAAATATGATTTGCTATTGTATCGTTAAGTAAATACGGATTTTTCTATAAAAGATGCAAACTTACGAGTCGAGAATGCGAGTCTTTCTGGTAAGGAATAACTGAAATATTCTATAAAATAATTTACTTTTAATAGCACTAAATACTTTAAACAAGAAGTTACATCTTTGAAGGAAAGACATTTTTCGAATAATTACTCAAGCAGTGTAATTTTATTATTTCTAATATGCTTAGAGGAAGCATTATCAAGTATTATTCACTTGTTTACCTGTACCATCAACAAATGACAGTAATATTTAATTCATTTTGTAATTGAGTTGTATTTATAAAATAAATTATGAAATATTTTCTTGTTTAAGCTCAATATTTCCTGATAAACTAAACAATTCCAGTCACAGTATCTCCCCATGCAATACAGTAAAGCCACTAAGACACAAGCCGTTACAGCATGTTGAAGAATTAAGAACAAAAACATTAATGAGCGGGAAGCGGGAGGAGTAATCAAGAGGACAGTAGATAGCGATTGACATTGTATTTAAATTTCTGATGAGCAAAGTGCTGAAATGGAATCCCAGCAGAAAGAAGTGTGAGATAATAAACTGTTAGCATAGAATTTATGGCTACATCTTGCCAGCTCAACTGTAAATTGATGAGATGTAGATTAATAAGCTATTCTTGTACAATTTCTAATATTATATGTTCGATCCTACAGTAGTGGTCTTGTGTCAAATTAAAACGGACCTGGCAAGTATCTGTAGGTAACTGATCGTCATATTCTATTTTTACTGTGCCCCGGTGATGTGAATTAGAGCAGAGATGACTGAATATATAGCTACAGTAATTACTCTTTAAAAGCGATAATTTAAAAATTAATAACATTTCAACATCAATTTTCTGTTTTGATTCTTGGCTACAACATTGTTATTTTTCAAATCAGAACTCTTATATAAAAATGGAACACAAAAGCACACACACACACACTTTCTTTAAATATGGACACAAAATTAATATATGTTTTAAATCAATTTCACCACAGTAATGGAAGTTCTGGTTTTAGAAAGCTGAAATGATGATTTAATGCCACTAAATATCAAATGTTAGATTTAGATTATTATTTTTATTTATTTTGAAGACCAGCATTTAATATGTTTGTGTTGATTTTAAGTGAAAATATTTCGATTATAAAATGGTGCTTTGGTGAATATAGCCCGTTTTCCATGACTACTTTTATACCTGGACATTGATGTAATTATGGAAATTTATTAAGCGCAAATTAATCTGACACAAGGCTGTAAGTGTTAGTAACGACGTCGGTATCGAAATCCCGAGGGTACTAATGATCTGCGAATGTTCCTGATTTCAAAGAGTACTCAGAAGTTACGCGTGAAAAAGTATAACAGTATAATCTTTGTTTATCATAGAATCAAATCCAACCTTTTATTTGTCCCAACTCCAAGACTCTTAGTTTTGGCATATTTCCCAAAGATTGCTAGTATAGAAACAACAAAAAGTCATACATTTAGAATGACTGATAAAAGAAAAAGAAATGCATATTGTTGACAACATAATTCATCTATATACAAAATTCTGTGACTACCGTTAGTCCGTCCATCACAAACCTTTAAAATAGACCCGCTCGAAACATAATTTTGGTTGGTTGGTTGGTCGGTTGACTTTTTTTAGTACACTTCTATAGATTATTTAATGCCGATTTTTTTTCTTTTTAGATAATAACTGTTTTACTAATTAACCCATAACTGGGGAGAAGTGGATTCATACCTTTCCCAAGGGTATTTGCATGTAAATGGATATAACAAAACCAACTGTAATTGAAACTCGGCTCACAGATTAACAATTTCGAGCCATTATCCATTACATAACACGCACATCCAAGCTTACAGGAACTGGTATTCCTAAGCGGTCACCATCTAAATACTGAACATGCTCGACGTTGCTTAACTTCGGTGATCATACGAGAACCGGTGTTTCAACGTGATGTGGCCGTAAGCCCTGAATTTTTGGGAGTAGGTAAGGGGGATACAAAGTACAGTTGGTTGTACTAGGGTGCGTAGTTTAGTATAATAAATTTTCATTACTTTTTTTGGCAAAAATAAAAGTTTTATTATTTAACATACAAGAATACTCTCATTATTTTAAAAAACAATTTAATGATTAAAATAACAAATATTATTCAATAAAAAGGCAATATTGTTTTTGTCTATCTTTTATTTAAGTTTTTATATATTCTATATTCCACTTTCCAGTCTCCCCCCCCCCGCTGCTTCACAAGAACTATAAAACAAATCACAAGGCCAAACGCTGCAAAAAGTTGGAATTTGACTCCAGAAAGAAATATTTACACGCGCGCAGTTGTATGTTGTATGGTTAAGAGTAAGAAATCCTAAGAATTTTTTTTTTTTTGCTGTTAAAAATGAAAAAAAGAAAAACAGAAATTTTCTTAAAAATATTTTTTACTATGAAGTCCTATAAAATTAAATTAATGAAATTATTAAACCGCGATGTTAGGTTTTTGTCAAAGAATTTTTCCAAACAAATTCAAATTTCATCGGTTGGTTTGCGAAATTGAACGAAACGTAGAGTTTGGAAATCTTGACAAAAAAAAAAAAATGTTAGCCATAACTTCAACAATACGAAATATTGTTAGGATTTCAACACGCGTGTTGTAAAAATTTCTAGTACTTTAAAAACAGATTTGGGAATGGCATATGTGATCATTGTTCTTCAATGACTATCACTATCATCAATCAATTTCCTGCCACCCAATTATGGGCCAATGAAAACAATATTATTTAGTAAAAGATTTAAGCATATTCGAAATTTCCTGCTTTTGATATAAATTTCTGGTCTTAATTTTGCTCTCTATAATCCGACCCCCATTGAAATATTCTGAGTCGTTCACTAATTACAAAATCCAGTAATTATAATTGTCCATCTTAACATATATTCATCTTAAGTACATAAAAAAATAATAACATCGCAATAATTAACAATCTCGTGTCAAATATCTCTTATGGCGTCTGGGTTTTTTTCATCCCAAGCAAAGTGGGGATGCCGCTAGTACACAGGGAATGACAGGGAGTGAAAGTGAGGGAAAAGACTGAGTACAGGGAGGATTGCGGAAAGGAGAAAAGATGGGCGGGAATCGAGAAAACAGAAGATGGCGATCGAATTTATATCTAAATTTTTGAAGATTGTAGTTATCAGGGAAGGAAATAAACGGAAGGGAGTTTTACAGGCGGGAAGTGAGAGAAAAAGAACTGTTGAAGTAGAAGTGGCGGTTGCATTTAGCTATTTCAACAGGTGGGACTTAGATGCCAATCTAGTGGCACGCTTAAATTCATGTAGATGGGCCCCAAGGAAAAATACTCGCCAGTGCAGTTGCCATGAAAATATTTCTAGAAAAGACAGAGGGAAACCACGTCAGTGAGAAAGTAACTGAAGTCGAGATGCCAAGTCAGGATCGATTTCATTACAGATCCTTCTTTAAACTAGTTTGAGTTGGATAAAATTTGAACAAATAAAAGAAATAGACTAGATATTTGTTAAGGAAATATCAGAGTTAAACTCATTAGCATAAAATCAGATCTTTTCTGAGGGCCCCATTCAATAAATAGCGCGTTTACCCATTTCCTTTTTGATTTTGGAAGATGGGAATGGTGAAATGCTATTCTGAAAATACAAACAAAAATGAATAATAATTAACAAAACAGGCGAGGAAATTCTATGGTATATAATTGTTATATTAATGGAATCTCCTCCTTACCAGATTTACGGCTAAATTATGTCGAAACACCGGTTCCCGCACAATCACTGAAGCTTTGATGTCTCGGTGGTGTATAGAATAATGTTAATCAAGTTCGTTTCATTCACTTATACACAAATACCATTGGGAATTATATGAATCCACCTCTTCTCCCTCAGCTATGGATTAATTAGTAAGATTTGTATCACTAAAACTATTATTATCTCCAAAGAATTGTGTACAAAATTTTTAGATTTCGGTATTAAACAACCCATGCAGGTTGATATGCCACTAAACAAAATCAACCAAATCCGTCTTGCCAGTAAAAATATCAATTCAATTCGAGACAAAAACGCTTTTTTCATCGTGCAAAGAATTCATTCAATTTTCAGTATTCCAAATGAAAAGAAAAAAATTTAAATCATGTCATTTTTGCTTTGGCTGAAATAAGAATGGAATTATTTCATATTTTCAAAAAATATACAAGTTACAATGATCAATCACGTTTTGAGGGGTTTCTTTAACAAAAGCTGCAAAATATTGATAAAGACAAGTGCAAGAGTCAAGGTGAGCCAATATACAATTATTGCATATATATATATATATATATATATATATATATATATATATATATATATATATATATCTGTATGTGTGTGTAAAGAATTCTGCAAAAATGTACATGTTGGGGCATACGTATGCGGACTCGTTCAGTTAAACTTTTAATGGTGTTGGCATTTCTATACATTGTAAGCGGCAGATTTTTCTATTGTAACAATGAGTGTCATGTGTGCCAGGAAGAAATGACTAGATCATTGTTGAACCAGAGCGAATTAATGCGTTTACCGAATGAACTATGACACTTTTTCTTTATGTGAATGCGTTGTGTGTGGTATACTTTAGTCAGTGAAGCGTTTCGCATATACAGACGTGTTCAACCAAGCAGGGTTAAGAAATAAATTGAATGAGAGATAATTTTCCCTCTTGAGTATCAGAATTAAAAAAGAAATAATACTAATATTTCCCATCATGCAGACTAAATCTAAGAATCGGTTGTACTTAACATAAATCAGCACCAACATCAAATGCTAGTCTTCTGAATGTCTAAGTACTTGTGTTTACATCTATTTATTTCTAAACAAAGCTAAGCCTCACAGACTGTTTTTAAAAAGGCTGCGTAGCAACAGTCTTTAAGAGAGGTGGTACCATAGCGTGTTTGACATTGAAATGCTCCATACGGAATTTAGCAGTTTTTTTTTTTTTTGGGGGGGGGGTATCATGAGAAACATGTTTTCCTTGTGCTCAGTACAATTCTCCTGCCCTTATGCATGTTCATATGAACGCGTTCAAATACATGCTTGAGTTTAAATTCATAGTTGTCTGGAATCCGTCACTGTTTGAGCCAACACAAAGTATATCCGAGGGTTTGAGCGTAATATTTGTATCTATTTTTGTGAGTAGTTTATGAGATAAAAATAACAGTCAGGTTGGTTGATTGATTCCATTCTCTTGGGTAGATACTCTTATGCATCCGACTATGTTTAGTGCCAGAGGGTTTATTTGGGCGTATTCATCTTCACTCCAAATAAAAGATAATACTCGGATCCGGCTGGTAACGGTCACCGTATTAAGAGGAGGTAAAACGTAGTGTAAGTTACGTGAATGGATTTCTCTTCGGAAGAGAGCGATCAGGGCTCACAACAATTTCGTATCCTTCCTAAATCTAGAAAATGTTTGATACTTAATATCCCTACCAGTCCAGGTTCTGCCATCCAATTCACAAGCTTGTCAGGTTTACAAACGGTTTTTCACTGTCCCTCTTGTCTTCAATATCTCCTGTGCGTGTCAAATTTGCCAAATCCTTTTTTCTTATGTGTCCAAGAAATTTCAACTTTCTGTCAAATACTATGTGCAGGTGTCCTTTTTGTTTCCATTTTTCTTTTAAATTCTTCGTTACTTATATATTCCATCCATCTTATTCTCGGCATTATTTATGTAGAACTAGATCTCTGTTGCCCTAAATCTTCTCTTCATCTGTCAGTAAATTTTCCATTATTTACTTTCATTATAGGAATAGTGTATTCAGAGTAGGTAAAAGGAAGTGTAAGAGAGCAAAAGATGCCTTCCAAAAGTTAAAGCAAGTATTGATGTAGCAAAATGGTTCACGACTATTTTCTTTCTTTCTAACAAAATGTTCCCGTTTCTTAATACTTGCTTTAGCTTTTGGAAGGCATCTTTCGCTATCCCAGTGTAGCTTTGGATTCATGTCAAAGAACTTCCCATATACTTAATTGTCTTTACTTGTTTAATTCGACGTTTCCACTTCGCATCTCAGACTGTTTCTCTTGCCAGCTACTATATATTCTATTTCCTTATAATTGATGGTTATTCTTTTCTTCATTTACTACATTGTCTAGGAGCTCTTACAGTTTCTTTCTGTGGTTGGCCATCAACAGGGTGTCATCTGTATTCGAAAAATGTACATGAAACAATAAAAACCAAAGCACTGATTAAAACACGACAAAAGACAGTTACAAATCGTTGCTTTTAACCTGAGAATATCATAGTATAAAAAGCAAAGATTTCACTAGATGTAGGCAGTCTCAATCATGACTATAAACACCATTGAAAAGAGATTTACATAAAACTACGTTAATTCATTTCTATTCAGTCGTGTGCACTGTTAGCATATGTGTATTTTCTCACGTGTATGTTTGTTTGAGGCAGGTCGTTTATTTTGCAAGTATGCTTTCACAAGAGCATAGTTTCATTTATTCGGGTGTAAACCAAATTTAATACAAGGCCAGACCGCGGGGAAAAGCTTTTATGGATAAAATATATTATTAATGGCTTTTAAAGATAGCATTCTTCTCTCCTATTAAGTGCAGTTGAACAATGAAACTGAATTATAGCAAAACAGTACTGGAATATTTGATACCACCGATATGAAAAAATATAGCAGGAACAACATGGATTAGGAGGAACTCGAACTCCACTTGCTGGTGTTATTTCATTTAAGATATACATGCTTGTGAGATCATAGATTTGTGTATTTTATCAAGATTTTCTATATTTACATGTTGCTTGTGAGATCATAGATTTGTGTATTTTATCAAGATTTTCTATATTTACATGTTGCTTGTGAGATCATAGATTTGTGTATTTTATCAAGATTTTCTATATTTACATGTTGCTTGTGAGATCATAGATTTGTGTATTTTATCAAGATTTTCCATATTTACATGTTGCTTGTAGATCATAGATTTGTGTATTTTATCAAGATTTTCCATATTTACATGTTGCTTGTAGATCATAGATTTGTGTATTTTATCAAGATTTTCTATATTTACATGTTGCTTGTAGATCATAGGTTTGTGTATTTTATCAAGATTTTCCATATTTAAATGTTGCTTGTAGATCATAGATTTGTGTATTTTATCAAGATTTTCCATATTTAAATGTGTGTAATTAACTGCGTTTGAGTATTTACATATGTGCGTGTAAGGGAACGTATGGGTAAATAAAGTGCAGACGGCTCGTTTCTGATTATGCTAGAGTGACTACTTAATCCCTATTGCAGACTCCTGCTCAGGAATATATGTATCTTCAACACTCACAGATGCAACTAGTGGTTTATACTGCAACTATTCAGCGCGAACCTTGGTTATATTTTCTTATAGAGAGTGCATATTTTCTTACAGAGAGTGCATATTTTCTTATAGAGAGCGCATATTTTCTTATAGAGAGCGCATATTTCTGGCGCAAGTTTGAAGAAAGCCATTATTTTCAAATCCTCGGTCATACTTCGTACTGGCATAACCATTGACGGATTCTAAATAGATCCGTCTACCCAATTTCAGTGACACTTATTGCGTCGACCCTTGGTATGTTTTTTCAGGCACATCCAAATAAATCCGCACGCGGGATCGTCTCTCAAGGATGATATCAAAATATCACCACCTTCACAATTCGACCATCGTGAGATTCGAACATAGGTCTCATGGTCAGAAAACTAAATTTTTAACCACCCGCATATACATAAGTATGTATGCGTGTATGTGTGAGTATGCGTACGTGAGAGTGCCTACACCTGTGTGTCAATAAATTGCGTATGTTTGTAGTGTATGTATTTACAAGTGTGCGAAAGCGTGCATGAATGCGTACGTCACTCCATGAGCGTGATTTTGCGTACATGCCTGTATCAATTTCAATTGCACATATGAATCAGTAATAAAGGTATCAGTATACAACCTTACTTCTTTTCGGATCCCATCTTGGCCGGGCGAAGGAGCCGCATCTGTGGCACACACGTTTCTCACAGTCGCAGCACACCCGACCAATACCATCAGCAAATTTAGTACGGAAGCACAATTGGCACAACCTGAGGTCGATGTAACCCGTTTGTTCTCTTTGGTGAAACTCTGCTGACAAAGCATCGTAGCGGTCTAGAGCTATCTTGACATTCCTAAAGGAGCAAAAAATAAAAGTTTGATATGAACATTTGAAATACAAATAAGCAGAAACAAATTATGAGTATTAATTCATTTTATATCATTATTACCATTAAAAACATTCTGTTTAACTTGCACCTGTTTTATAATTACATGCCAAGTCATTGACATTTACCTACGGCATGAGAAGGATATGATCTTTTGTTTCCCCTTAGTTAAACAAAAAAAAAAAAAAATGAAATATATAGTGGGGTTGCTCTACCAGGAAACACGTCTAAATTGTATGATGGTTTAGACTCGACTTCCCGAAAAGCCTTTCTCTATCTACTATTCCAACACTAGTTAAGCCAATCAAAATCGACTTCCTTTGTTTTGTCTTGTATTTGACTTCAAAGATCAAACTGAGGAAGTCAGAGCAGAAATACACTTCTCTTAAGAATAATGGTCTGCTAAATTATTATTTAACAGTTTTAAACACAACTTCTTATTCTTTGTGCCGTGTCTCTTCAGGACGTAGGTGATCATGGCTCTTCACAATTTCCTGTTCTTTTTAACTCTTAGTAAAAAATTATCTTTTCGCTATCTCCCCTAATCCCTGTTCTGCCAATTATTTACACACGTCCGTTAGGTAGGTTACGAGCTACTTTCCTGTGTCCCTTCTGCCTTTAATATGTCCTGTGAGTGTCAAATTTTCTAAGCCCTCTTTTCCCATTATTAACCCTAGAAATTTCAGTTATTTCTTTCTGCTCTTAAGTATAAACCTTCTTTTTTGCTTCGATTATCTCTAAATTTTCGTCATTGCTCACACGGTCAATCATTCCGTAGAACCACATATATGTTGCCTCAAATCTCTTCTTCATCTAAGAGGAGAGTGTCCACCATTTACTGTCATATAGGAGGAATGATATTACATAAGAGTTCAGTATTCTTTTCTTTCTTTCTAACGAGATTTTCCTGTTTCTTAATATTTGCTTAGTTTTTCAATAGCCTTCCCAAAAATGTTTTTCTCATTTGGTACGCTCATTTCAACCAGTTTACGAACATTTTATTGTTATACATTAGTAGTAGTAGTATCAGTATAACATAACATATAACAACATTCATCCATACTTCATAACTATACTGTACATATAATATTCTTGAATTTAATTTAAAACTGTAGTAAAATTTATAAAATTTATGAAATTATAATTCATCTTCTACTACTACTACTATTACTATTAGTATTACTAATAATAGTGTTCGATGTTGAAAGGGTTGTATTTTTAAGTTTGAAGGATGAGGCAGCCAAGGTTACTTGTGAATCAAATCTAGATAGTTATGAATACGTGCAATCGGAGACTATCTGTGCAGACTGAGTTACCCAACATGAAGGTATTTCTAATTGGGCCTCACCTCTAAGGTTATGCGCTTCAATTATGAAATTATGAAAGCCTGCCACCAATATCACGAACTAAGGCTGTGATGCATGTGCCTATCAGGTTGGGTGCCATGATAGGTATCTTAGGCTTCGTATATTTGAATACCAGTGTTACTTTACTGTCATGTTGATTTACAGCAACAACAACAACAATAATAATAACAGTAATAATAAAATTATAAATTTTTCCGTGTTTTCTTTACTCCTTAAATATTGATGTAAAGAAAACAATACCTTCCATCTCATTCTGTTCAAGTTTTGCAAAATATTTAGCTTATTACATGCACGAATACATGCTAAATCTATTACAAAAAAATGAACAGTTCCTTATCAGAATGAGATGGAAGGCGCTGTTTTCCTTACTGTTGTAGACTAGTTTTCACAGTGGAGGCTTGTATTTCACTAAGTCGGTCCTAAAAGGGTCCGACGTTAGGAACTTGCAAACTAGTTGGGGTGGTTGATACTTCAATGTCCGACATCGACTGACTCACTCAACACCACTGAGCTCAAATGGCGACCGCTACTACTACTACTACTACTACTACTACTACTACTACTTATTATATGTGGGAGAGTCTATTACAATAGAATAGGTAATGTTTTGGTATAACACTTACATAAATATTTAAGTCAAAACTAGGAATTACCCGCCTTCAAGTGAATAGGTGGTTAGTTCCGGAAAGGATATGCTTGCTTTAATAGACAATATTAAATTCAGAAAAGTTAATTATAATTTCCAAAAAATATTAATTACGGAAGTAAAAAAAAATATATATATATTCTAATTGACGGTGACAAAACAAGGAATATTTATACGATGAGTCCGAAGACTTACGGGAAAAATAAATGAAGAAATCACTAAGTTTTACAAAAAAGCACCGAATTTGCACATTGAAAGTATAAACAAGAAAGAGAAAAACATCACAGCCAAACTGGCTATAAGTGACAGGGTTCAGATACTATGCGGTAAGTAAGTATTTTTTTTTAACTATAAAGGACTGTAAAGACGAATTTCCCAATAATCCTTCATTTCAACTAATAAACCCAACCAAAACTGAATTGGCTAAATTAAGTTGGGAAATACTGAAAAAAAAAAGTGTGATTTATTAAGGTTCGCTACGCAATTTAACTAATGGAAGGACACAACTGAATGCATTTCTTGGTTCCATGAAATTAAAAATAACGATGAATATGTTTTTTATAAAATACGACATAAAACCTTTTTATCCATCAATATCTAAAAAAAGACTGCTTGAGGCTTTGGATTTCGCTAAAGGTTTTGTAAATATGCCACCTGAACAGATAGCTATAATTTTACATTTCCGTAAATATATATTATTCCAAAATGGAGAAGCATGAATTAAAAAATAAAAAAGGGCGACTTCGATGTACCACAATGTACGTTTGATGGTATTGAGGTTTCAGAATTAATGGGCCTATATTTTATATAAGATCAACGAAATAGTACACATAGACATCCACGGCCTGTATAGGGCTGATGGGCTGATGATAGTGTCAGACAATAGAAAAATAAATGTAATATAAGAAAGATGCTTTTCAAACTCTTCAAATGTTACTGACTTTAAAATAGAGGAATAAAAAGGTTGTCCAATATTTAGTTGGAAAATTAAATCTACAAACTGACAGTGTCTCCCCATACATGAAACCCAACACAAAATTAAGATACGTAAATGCTGGATTGAACTATCCTGCAAGTATAATAAAGCACATCCCTAAAGGAAAAGAGCCCAGCTTATTTAGAAAGAAAGAAAGAAAGAAAGTGTATGACAAGACTTTAAAAGAAGAGGGACATGAAACTAAACTGGAATTTAAACCTCAAATAAAACAAAGAATAATTCGAGGAAAAGAAAAACATTATTTAGTTTATCCCTCTTTTAATTTATAGGTAAAGTGTAAAATAGGGAAAATATTTTTCAAATTGCATAATAAGCACTTCCCTTAAAAGCTAACGTATAGCAAGACGTCGTTAACAGTGAAACATGTAACTGTAGAGATAAATGAAAATGTTCACTAGTTGGAGTTTGCAAAACAGAAGGAGTGATTTACAAAGTCAAAGTAAAAGATATAAATGGCCAGAGTGGGGTTTACTGAAGTCAGCTTCAAGAAGAGATGGTATAATCACAAGTCATCATTCAGGTTAGAAAGCCTTAGGAATGTACCAGACTAGCCAGCCATGTGTGGGAGTTAAAAGAAAAAATAACAAAGCCCCGATTGTAAACTGGAAAATATTAAGAAGTGTCAAACCTTATAGCAATCGTAGTGATATCTGCAAACTATGCCAGGAGGAATAGTTAACAATAATAACATTCCCAAACCCCAAAATACCTACTTAATGAAAGATCTGAAATAATGTCACTATTGTATAGACATTAAAAAGTACTTTTTGAGTTTGTACGAACCAGGATGAAAGTATGTAAATTTTATTTACACCCCCTCCAATACAATTTCAATACTTTACACCTCCCCTTCTATTACACTTCACGTTGTGCGTTTATATATAAATAATGAAGCGTTAGGGAATCATTTGGGAAATATATCGCCTGAAGATATCGAAAGGTTGAAACCATGGAAGCGAGAGTGACTGATCTCCTAACTTTTAAATTGAAATCTCTGCATGTTAGATTTTTATTCTTTTTATTTTCTTCCTATATGTATTGACCACTTTTTAACTGTTTCCTGGTATATTTGGACTCTGACCAATAACTGTTTTATAATTATATATATATATATATATATATATATATATATATATATATATATATATATATATATATATATATATTCAGCACTCGTCAGGTGATATGAGTTGAAATTTCGAACCGAACCATTTAATATTGTCTACGGGGGTAGATTTTTTCTAGTTCCACGTGCCATAGTATTTCTGAATATCTCAGCTTCATTTAATTCCTTTTAGTTACTCAACTCTCCAAGAATTTTGTTCCCCTCTGCCGTACCCAGGTATTGAACTTACAATTCTTTGGGTCAAGTCATTGGATTACTACAACCAACACTTTTTCCCACTTTAACTATAGGCCCTTGAGGACATATATAGTATGTAGACACACACATACACACACACACACAATATATATATATATATATATATATATTAATTTTCTGAGTGAAGAGGATGTGCTTTCCTTAAAAGGGAAAAAGAATCTTGTTACCGTTTTTTGACGTTCCTCGTCACTAGACGACAACGTCCGTCGTATCAAACTGTTGTTTCCCCTACAGACGCAGGTTCGATCTCTGCCGGACAACACATCTTCTTTACTAAAATTTCTCGAATGTGCAGGCCGATAGACGTAATAAACACAGCTTAATAAAAAAAATATGAGGCGACTATTTGAAGTACTGAATAATCCAGGCGGGTCCTATTAACACAACATAGAATTTGAAATATGTTAAAACTGACTCACAAAAGTGAGCTCCATGTTTATTTTCAATAAACAGAGCAAATTTTCTTTACAACTGGAATTAAGTTACCTTTAGCAAATGACCATTTTCACCTACGAATTTTTTTTTTCAAATTGTTTCTGGTATCAGTTTGTAGCGTACTGTTTATTTGGAGAA